GATACAGCACTACAGGAGATTGGGTGGACCAATGGAAACTCCTGCTGGTCCCCCCACCTTAAGGAGGCCTAGACAAGTTCGTTCTATTCACTCCACTCAGGAGGAATTTAATAATAGGAACTCCCACCTGGGACCAGTTGAAGCAGAGACTCAGCTAATTGATGAAGTAGAGACTGACAGAGGGGCCAGGGTCTTCTAGTCCAGTCCCTAGCAGGGGACCTGAGGCCATATGCAAATGTATGGGTAAAATGGTCTGGGGGTGGGGAAGAGACCTTCTTGGGATTCCTGGACACAGGAGCCCAATGTACCATCATCCCAAAGCCTGTCAATGAAATGTTGAAGGGGCCTAAGGTTAGACTAGGGGGATATGGGGATGCAACAGTTGATGGGACCAAAGTGAAAGTTTGGATGAGAATTGGAAGATTTAAACAGATGTTGAATGAAGTAGTTGCATCTCCTTTACCTGAATGTATTATCGGTATGGATATTATGTCTAATTGGAGAAATCTCCCTCTACCTGATATTGTAAAACTGAAGGCGTGCCCTTAGGCAGGTATTGATTGGATATGCTAAATGAGAACCATTAGAATTGCCTGAGCCCACTCAGGTTGTTAACTTGAAACAACATAGGATACTGGTGGACAGAAGGAAATTAGTGCTTTGATTAAAGACATGCTGAAAAGTCTGGAGTGTTGGTGCCAACAAATTCTCTGTATAACAGCCCTATATGGCCTGTGAAAAAGGCAGATGGCTCATGGAGACTGACAGTAGACAACAGAGGCCTAAATAAAGTAGTGCCACCAGTGGCTTCAGCTGTTCCAGACATGGTATCGGTGGTGCAGAAAATACAACAGGCCAAAGGAGACTGGTACTCAGTGGCTGATCTTGCAAATGCCTTTTTCTCCCTACCAATCTCAGAAAAGAATCAGTCACAGTTTGCTTTCACATGGGAAGGCTCTCAGTACACCTTCAGAATTTTGCCCCAGGGTTATTTGAATTCATCCGCTTACTGGCTTGGTTAAGAGAGACTTGGACTTGCTACAGATATCAAGTACAGTGATACATTACATTGATGACATTGTGTTAATATCAAACACAGAAGAAGAGGCTAGGACAGATTTGAAAACAGTGGTGGCCCTCATGACCAATAGAGGCTAGTTAATAAATCCAGGAAAAATCCAGAGCCTTGCCCAAACAGTGAAATTCTTGGGAATAACTTGGGCTGGAGCCACCTGTGACATTCCCCAGGTAACCAAAAATAAGTTGCTGTCACTACCTACCCCCAAGATTAAGAAAGAAGCCCCCATTTAATTGGTCTATTTGGATTCTGGAAAACACATATTCCACACCTGGGTATATTGCTGTCTGCTATCCATAAAGCCACTAGGAAGAAAAGTACATTTGATTGGGGGCCAGAGCAACAGCAGGCTATGTCTGAAATACAGAAAGCAGTCTCACTGTCCTTGCCTTTAGGTGCTTATGATCCACATTCAGACATGATCTTGGAGGTGTCTGCTACAAGTGCTTATGCAGACTGGAGCTTATGGCAAAAGCCTGAGAATGCTGCCCTATGACAACCACTGGGATTTTGGACTAGAAAGTTTCCAGATGCTGCAGCACGATACACACCATTTCAAAGGCAGTTGCTTGCCTGCTATTGGGCATTGACTGAGACTGCCTCAATGACAGAAGGGCATAAAATTATTGTTATTGTTGTTGTTGTTGTTGTTATGTGCCGTCGAGTCAGACCTGACTCATAGCAACACCTCCTTGGGTTTCTGAGGCAGTATCACTACGGAAGTAGATTGCCCCATCTTCCTTCCGAGGAGTGGCTGGTGGGTTTGAACC